TAGTTTGAATCAAACCTTGCTGCTATAGTATATCGTACCCTAGGTCTGTTAGCATATGTAGGTTAGGGCTTTATGGTTTTGGGTCTTTACCCATTAAATCTTGGTTGAACGTGCTCGTTTTTAAACTTTAAACTTATTTTCGAACATATATGAGCACTAGGGTTCGGTTTTTGAGGTTCATATCGATTTTTGAAAAGTGAGCGTTTAAAATTATCACATATATTTGTCATTCATACTTGTCGCATTATACTATGGTTCAAAGTTGTTGCATCCTTGTGATGCGAGAAAATCTCTCATCGCATCCCTTCGTTGCGACAAACAGGGTTATCGCATCCTTTATGATACGACAACCTTGAAGTGTCATCGACAACTTCCCTGTGTCATGCGATAAATTAATCACTTAGGATTTTTTTTCGAAAAATTTCCTGAAATTGTTTTCAAATATGTTCGTGTCCTGGGTTATGTACTAATATTTCCACGTTGCAGATGGATAACAACAATGGTAATGAGTTCGAGAAGAGAACCTGATGCCTTCCATCCGCTCTTCGGTACCATTCGTAACCACCACCAACCCCAACAACGACCTGATCCTCAAAGCTGACTACCTCAAGATCTTACCCAACAACCACGGCTTGGACTACTTGATGAGGTGTGATCACCAGATCATCCTCGAGATCCTAAAACGCCATCCCCTAAACATCGCTCTGACCACAACTGCACCCACCCCTATGATCTATCTTCAGCAATTCTGGAACACCTTAAAGTATCATCTTGAAGCTAAACACCACCATTTTACTACCAACATTGACCATTTTCAAACGACACTAATGCTGAGGCAGTTGAGGCACATCTTAGGACTTCCAGATAAGGACTTGAGACAGGGAAAGAAGACTTTGATGACTTTGCCTGTAATCAGCAAATCTGTGTCGATCTACGTACGCTGGACTACTCAGAAAACATCACTGTGGCGGATCAATTGAAGAGGGTGTTCCTACCACTGTTGTGGTACTCGCTCTTCAGCATTGTCAACCGTTGCCTAACTTCCAAGCACACGGGCATGGACAAATGAGATATTTCTATCTTGCGGATGTTCCATTGGATTGCCTTCAACATGCACTACGATACGACGTCCTGATTTAGAATGAACTTGTCGAGGTAGTGCACGACAAGTCCAACAACAAGGCTAGAAAGTTCGTACCGTTTCAGAGATTTCTACAGATGATCATCAAAAGCCTGATATGGTTGAACAGTAAGATCCTGAGACGCGCAAACGAAGAAATCGGACCAGAGTTTGTCATGCATTTCATGAAGCTGCTTGAACGTGCATTCAACCAGGTACTTCCTATTTCTGTCGATCTCCTAGGCTATGCAGACCAGAGCACACCATGTGTCATAGCTTATAGAGAGGCCCACGATCTAATGGCCCAGCCAGAACCGGCTGGATCTCCCCAAGGATCGATCCCTGATGTAGGTGGGGAGGTAGGTCTAGGTAGTGAGCAAGAAGAAAACAATGATGGGGGGGACATAGATGGGGGTGCCTCTGGCTCTGCTTTAGACTCTTCTGATGATGAAGATGTATCATCAGATGAAGGAGAGCTATTGCCGTTGAATCCTCATCTTCAGAGGATTCTGACTCATCGGACGACGACGGAACGCCCGATAGCGCCAAACGCCTACCAACTCACATCGGTGCAATGCCAGAGATTATGTAGTCTAACACTGAAGAAGAATTGATCCATGATATTGCTGTCATGGATCTTGATCTAATTGTATCATTAGCAGTCAGTGACATAAGGATGGATGAGGGAGGAGTTGAAATTGATGAGAGAGAGTGTGTGATAGGACGGAGCGTGAGACACGGACAAAACATCGTCAGGACCATTCCCTACCCACAATAAGTCGGGTACCCACATCTACTATTGGATCTCATCCGTGGATCTAGTATTGAACAAGCCATAGTGGACCCAGCTATGCAAATGCACACCTCTCCCAAACATTCTAGCACCTCTCAAAGGGTGCTAGTTTCATCAAGTCATGGGGATGAACCACATCTGCTATCCATACTCTCACTCGGAGAGTGTGGATATTGAAATAAGTAAACCGTTGCCCTAGTCTACGCCATCACTTATGTGCACATCGAGTCTAGCGCCTGATACAACTATTAGGACACAAACATCTGGAGCATCTGTTGCTCAACCAACGGTTCTTCGTGAACGCACCAGAACATCTAGAGTGGTATCTTCTGCAGATACTTCACGAGGACATGATGGAAATCCTACCAGTGCTAAATCTTTGCCAACAGTGAATGTAGGTCACACAGTTGACTTAACTGTCGTGTCAACATGAAGGCTTAGTGCCCCTAGTGTTACCGTACCCAAAACCATGATGCAGATGCTGGCTGGTGCTCTAGCTACGGTCTAATCCTCCATACACAATGAAGTAGATGACCTAAAGCAACTATTGAAGGTCAAGTTGATCACGGAGCACGTGAGTCCAACTACATCGCCATAGCGACCACCTACTCTTGAGCCTAGACAACTAGTTGAGTGCTCAACTAAAGAGCTGAAGTCTCTATTCTACGCTAAGTTACTGTCCGAGGCAGATGAGGGAGGACAGTTGGAAGCTGATCTCATAGGCATGCTCAGGGCACAAACCCAGTCTGAGTATGTTACGAGACCGGAGTTTCACGTATTTCAAGACGAAGGCATTTTCCGATGTCGCACTACAAAAAGCTGAATGACGTGGTAGACACCATCAGATCCGGTTTCCAAACCTTGTCCGAGAGGATTCAAATCCTTGAGGACATTTGCAAGAGTCAAGCAGATGAATCAAAGAGATGACATGGTGACAGGGATGACGACCCCGATCACCATGAGGGGGAGAACCGACAAAGAACCACCGTCCGTGACATTTCCCCACATATCCAAAGATCAAGTCCCATTGCAGAATCATATCAACATCAACAGGGTTAAGGTCCGCGTCAGCAAGCCGCCGAGGGGGGACAGAGCCAATGGTTGAAAATTCGGAGGCTGTTGAAGTTCAAAGTGCTCAAATGCCTACTGCAGTTGTTGAGGTCCCATGCCCAATTATCAATATTGAATCCGATGAAGAAGGTCCTCATCCGCAACAAATCAAAGAAGAGATTGGCAACTTCTTCAGGTTCTCTGACGATGAAATACTCGAAGAAGGGGATTTCGACCACATCAATGATCTCAACAACTCCTTACTTGATTTACCTCAAAGAGATCAGTTGATTCCCCAACCTCCAACAAGTCAGATAACAATGGGCTCGAGTACTCTAGGTGGATCACATGTAGAAAGGTAGGAAAGAACGAGAATTGTGAAATTGGATCTGGTTCGAGTTCTCCAGATCACTCACCTCAACAACATACAAGTCATAGAATATATGCACATGCTAAAAGCGAAGACTCAACCCCTCGAAATGGTCAAATCAAGGCAAAAGATGGGGATTAAGAACATCTACACCGACAGACTCGTGAATGTCCATTTCCCAGTCTTCACCGTTCTCAGAACTGACAGTAAGGAATGGAAGTTCACAGAAGCCTATTTCAGGTACTTATCTTTTGAAGACTTCGAGACGATGTACCCTGAAGGTATTTACACATTTAGTCCCTCTACTTTATTACAAACAAAAATATAAATCTAACATGCTCCCCTTTTTGTAATAAAGGCCGCTTCAGACAAATCTAGAGCTAAAGAGAAGCAGCCGCCAAAGAGAAACACTGTATTTTGTATTCCACATTTGAATCAATAGATAAACCAACTGATTTGCTATTTCCATTATGTTAATCTTATTTCACTGTTTCTTCTAATCATCTGGGAAAACAACAAATATTTTTGGACATCTCAAATAACTTGTTAAAACACTTTTAAACAAAACGTTCTATTTGCTTTTTAATATAAACACTTTTGAGAAGTGTCATATAATCTATCTTTTTAGTGAACGTTTGTTTTTATAGGTTATTTTTCAATTAATATCATATAAAAAAAATAAGATGGAGTATTATTTCAAAATTGTCCTAAAAATTTATTAATATATTCAAAAGTGTTCTATTAATTTATCAACACTTTTACATTGGACACATGTCTATTCGGTCATCTAAAAGAGCTTATCATAATATTTAAAGATTTTTGACATGTTATTAACCTGATTTTATTGCAGTGAATAACATGAAGAACATAAATCCAACACCTAAAATCAAAACCCTAAATTAATGAACAGGAGCTGTCACACCTGGTAGGGTTAGATGCTGATGTCCACAACACATCTCCACACCCTCGTCGTTTGGTTGCCATTGATCTCAAAAGATTCATTGATGATGCTGCAATATTTGGGAAGACATAACACATAGCTGTGGTTCTGGGGGAGAGAAAATGAAATGGATGGTTTTGTTTACTTTTTCTTGAAATTCAAGATGTGTGTACATATGCTTTACTCACTTCTGCAATAACTGTTTTGGGAAAAAAATAAAAACTACCAAGATAACTTAGTCGTGTTTGGGATTGTTTATTTGAAACAACTTTTACTTTTTTATAAAAGTCTTTATCAACTTATTATAAGTTAGAATGGTTTAACTTCTTCAAAAACTTTTTCTTATCGATTTGGCACTGGTATAAGTTGTTTATCCAAATACTCAAAAATGTTTATTACCGGTGTCACACCGAAATAAATCAATAAGTTGTTTTTATAAGCAATTCCAAACACCCCTTTAATATGAGGGTGTGTGGGTTTGATATTAAAGGTAATTAAGAGTCTAGAATCTTTCTTAAACTTCTCACTTTAACTCTTCTTCTCCCACAATCTTTCGCGGTTAGTAAATAAGATTAAAAGATTATTAAAAAAGATATTAATCTATATGTAGTTTGCTATAAGAAGTCTACCACCTAAAAGTCGTCTACGCATCTTATATATATATATATATATATATATATATATATATATATATATATATAGTAGAGAGAGAGACTTGTAAACTTTAATAATCAAAAGGAGCCAAACACAAAGAAGAAAGAGTTGCAAAAATGGAGTGCAGAAAATTGGAGTTGACCATTAATTCTGCAAATGATTTAAGAGAAGTAAGAAGAATTTTCAAAATGAAAGTTTACGCCAAGGTATTAATTTCATTGTATTTCTTATATTTGATCCGAAATCCAAGATATGATTGTTTTGAAAATTACTTTCGCTTTACATGATCCAAATTCACTAACTTCAGAAATCCTTTTTGAATGGCACCCATCATATATACTTTGGTATTTGTTATTTTCTTTCTAATTTACTTGAAATTATTATTAGATTAACAAGCAAGATTTGAGTGCAGGTATTCATTGGAGGTAACCAGATAATGGAGAAGCGAACTCCAGTAGACAAGCATGGCCAGACTAATCCAGCATGGAATTACACCATGAAATACTCTATCAGCGAGTCATGGATACATCATCATGGAACCATGCTCGTGATCAAGCTTTATTGTAAGCGTAAGCTCGGAGATAGATACGTTGGAGAAGTTCATCAGTCATTGAAACAACTTTATGATTATGCATATCCGATGGGCGGCAGTGCGATGGTGTGCTTTCCGGTGCAAATGGGATCGGCTGAGTCACAAGGACAACTTTGTTTCACTTATAGATTTGGTGAGAAAGTGGCTATTGAGAAGCAAATGCTTGCAGAAAGTATTGCTTCCTTCTTATTGACCAGTCCTAGTGGTTCAACTTGATGGGTGCACCCAACCACCACCCTTGCCGTCACCATCGCAGTTGCTGCAACCACCATCATCACCATTCACCACCCCTTGTAAATACGTGTAAATTTGTTGTAATACTTTCTGAAGACAACTTGATGAAGCAACCATTGAAGTTTCGCATCTTTTTATTTGCATATCTTAACAAAATTTTATTCATAGATAGATTTTCACGATCATATATCTCTATCCGATACGGTCAACAGAAAATATAAAAGTAGAACAATTACAACTTGAGAAATAATAGATGAACATGCATCTCTTGATAATTGATATCATGCATATGTGGATTATTCAATTCATATATCGATAATTGAACCTACTAAATTAATTATCTTTGATAGTGTTCCATGATTAGATCTATATTCATGATAAATAACACATCCATATTCATCATGAATGTATGATTCGTGATGGATAACGCTTTCATATTCATCATTAACGTCTTAATATTAAACCTAAAAAGAGAAACATGGTCCATGGACGGGCCTACTATGGGCATACGGTGGCACGTGCTACCGTATCATTCCTCCGTTAAAGGGTAAAAAGATTTAGGTTCGTGAAAAGTGCAACCGTATTAATTTGTTGCGTGTCACCGTATGTATTTTGAAACTATAATGAGATTAAGTTTTATTTGGTAGAGTTGGTTTGCAAAGCTTTTATTCCACCCCAGACTCAAGTTCGATTCCTGTTAGTGTCATTTGTTTAGTCAAATGGCGCCATAGTTTAAAAAAAAATATCCGTATATTTGTTTCTTATAATCAATCTGTGTCACCTTTTGAAAAAAATTTCCTATATTTTTTTTATGGTCAAATAGTGCCACCGTTTGAAAAAATTTATGGTCCATCCCAGACGTATTGTGCTATTACCAGTTCTAGATTTCTAATCAATTTTAGGTTCCTAGCGGAACATCCCACTCTCTCTCTCTCTCTATATATATATAGGGGTCTTTTTTTTAAGAATTTGACGATTTGTGAAAACTGTGAGGTCCATTTTAAGCAATTAAATTCTATCAAATTAGGAATTTAGTAATTATAGTAAATTTGATTTAAAAATCTAATAAAAGAGTTATGAATATTTACAAATATCTTCTCTCTTCTCTTTCTTGACTCTTTTTCTTCTCTCATTTATAACTAGAGTAAAACCTAGTAAACTAATACCTTAGTTTACTTGTGCACAAAAGTCGAACACTTTGTGACCTCCATTATGAACACTTTGTGACCACCATTATGAACACATTATGACCACCACTATGAACACCGATGACCACGTAATGAACAAGGAGATGGATGTGAACACATGAACAAAGTAGGCTAAAACCTTAATTTTACTTGTGCACACAAGGTGAACACCACTATATATTAACACCGGTGAGCACGTAATGAATAAGGTAAACACATAGTGAACGAGAAGATAAATGTGAAGGCATGAACAAGATTTGTAAACACAAAAAAAACCAAGAGCGTAAAAAAACTTATTCATTTGAGAACATAAATAATTATGATACAAAACCCATATAAATGAAAAAAAAAATCAACAAATCCAGAACTTATGTATCTTCTGTAACTAAATTTTGCACGTTGATTTGAATCATTTGTTGCTTCCATTTCTTCATGAATGCCTTCGGGAGGCTAGAACGAGAGAGATGGCTCGAGAAGATCTATTCAAAATGGTAGGTAGAAACCATTGATAGGGGAGGATGCATATGGCGAACGATAGAGGAGCACAGAGATAGCAAGTTGTTGATCAGAGTGGCCGACACAAATGGTGATCATTGCCGTCACGGTGGTGGTTACCGTTTTCGATCGAAGGAGACGTATGGTGGGTGTGGGGGGTTCATGATTGTTCACAAAAATAAGAAAGGGAAGTGGGAAGACGACGAAGTTGGAGGGTGGTCGAGTGATGGTAGTATGTGGCCCATGTTCTTCGAGATCGAGATATTGGGAGTAAGACACGGTCACTGCTTTGACTTGGACCGAGAGAGCTTCATGGTTGGTAGGGTGGAGGTTTAATACGACGTACATGAACCATCATGAAGAGAGTAAAATAGGAGACGAAGGAGAGGTGGAAGACGGTGGCCATTGTTGACGGTTATGGAATTGGAGAGAAGAGTCGTGATAAGAAAGAAGAAGACGTGTTGAATGGAATCAAAAATTGGGTTTGAAATTCAAAGCATATTGTTGCTTAGACACCTCTTTGTACCTCTTTACCTAGAGCTCTAAACGAACCGAACGTTCAGCGAACCGTTCGTGAACTATTTGATGGGAAGTTCGTTTATTTAATAAATGAACAAAATGAACAAATTTTTTTGATAGTTTAGTTAAACGAACGAACATGAACAAGAGTCTCGTTCGTTCATTTATGTTCGTGAACGTTCGTTCATTTACCGTTCGTTTATGTTCGTTTATATATTAAATTTAATATATAATCTTTTGTTTATATAATTTGAATTCAAATAATATTTATTTATGTTCGTTTAGCCCGTTCGTTTATGTTCGTTCATGTTCGTTCGTTTACGTTCGTTTAGCATGTTAACGAACGAACATAAACGAACACGAACATATCTAATTTCTAAAAACGAACATGAACACAAATATTTTCGTTCGTTTACCGTTCGTGTTCGTTCGGTTCGTTTAAAGCCCTACCTTTACCCATTATCTACCATGCATTAAATGATTTTTTTTTACCTTTTCAATTAATTTTCTCTCTTTATTGACGATCAAGGAGCTTCGGAAAATAATAAAATGATTTTTTTTTAATTTTAACCAGAAAATGAATGTTACCGAAAATAACAAAAACTAAATAAATAAATGAAAATTAATACAAAATTTTAAAGCTCATATCAAATCATTTTTAAGGTTATATAAATAGCAATTTTAAGAAGTATATAGTTATATTTATTATGAGGTTTATTTCTATTTTTAAAGGTTATAAAATGTTGAAGAAATTAAATTCTTTCTATTATGAGGTCTATTTCTATTTAAAGGTTATAAAATTTTGAAAAACTAAATTTCTTAACCAAGTAATAAATTTTAACAACTAACTACCCAAATCTTCTACTATCAAATTAACTTATTCTTGGCTTTATTACTAATAAATAAATTTATCTATACTATATTATAAAGTATTTGACAAAAACTCTTAAAAATCATTTTTTATGTACGAAGAACTGTTTATTGATATGTATATTATTTAAAATTTAAGATTACAAGTAAATTGTGCATACGTACAACTTATTAAAGCTCCATATTTGAATTTGTGTAACTAATTGCAGATAAATATAATCAAATATTGGATAAACATCTTATTTTAAATATAAAAATTCTAAAATATAATTGGAATAATCATGGAGTTCTAACAGAATATTTAGTTATTATCTTTTTAAAATATTATATTATTAAACCTAAATTAAATTTCTTTGTTGCTAAACCTAAATTAAATTATAATTAAAAATTTTAATTAAAAAAATTACACCAAAACACAAAAACTTTTAAAAAGATTAATTTGATACTGATATGAATATTTATTTTAAAAAAATTATGATATTTTTATATTTATATTTTATTTAAAAATAAAAATATTATCGCATTCTCAAAAGCACATAAAAAACATATTATATCGACATAAAAAATGAATAAAACGAAACACTAAAATCAAAATGTGTCTCGATGCATTACATGAGTATTCTTCTAGTCTTCATTTATGTATTTTTGCAAGGTAATACCATTGTTTTTAATATAATTTTATAGTTGGTATATTCATTCATTCAATTATTATGTTTGAATATATAATTTTAAACTATGTAATATTAGGTCTTAAAAGATGCGGTAAGAATTGTGGGGAGAGTTACACGACGCGATGGATTTGAGAATCAATATCAGACTTGGGAAATGACGGATTTGAATGAAGATGATTATGCGTATAAAACTGATTCTCTATGTCCACAACAAATTGGAATTTTCCATCAACAAGGTATTTGTAACCTTTATAACCCTTGTAGTTTAGTTGCATTCAAAAATAGCATTAGAAAGCTTAATTAGGAAACAAAACATCATTGCATTCCAAAGTTTGATGACATAGACATTTTGAGGTACCAGGTACCAACGAGACACAGTTGTTATGTTTAAGGGTACCAAGCACCAGCAACAAATGTTGACGACAAAAACTTGTACGAAACAGAGGATGCAAGGGAACGCATTTATTTTATTGATCAATTTGAGCCGATACTTCGACCTTACATCATGAAAGTATAGGGTTTAAAGCATGATATATGTTACAAATTTTGTGTCATATCCCTATGCCTTATTGGTTATGATATTCCATCTTTATTTTATGTAGGTACAAAACGTAAATGTGATGGAAATTGTGGACTTCGAGCAATATCTATTTGCTTAGGTTTCAACAAAATTAATTGGCCCAATATTCGGCATGAATTACTAGAAGAGTTAATTATGTATAGAACAGAATATGAAGTGATGTTTAACCCTTATAGTTAGGCCCAAGTTGAGACATCGTTGAGTTAGTTTTATGAAGACACGTTTGCACCAACTGATTACTGGTAGAGTATGCCTGGGATGGTTGTACTAGCTGCTTCAATGTATATCGGATACTACATGTTTTGAACAGCATGGGAAATTCCATGTACTTAACGCTTCGTTCTACACCTAAACATTGGACTAAACATTCTCTTATTACAATCAGGTATGTAAATGGAAACCATTAGTTTAAAGTAACGCTAGAAGGAAGGTATCTGGTGCCTACTATTTCTCCATACTAGTTACGTTGGAGGTATCCATGTGCAATTCGATGGACAACTCTGTATGAGGCTCGGATAAAACGATGTGGTGGTCATCAAGAATCCAAGTGTAGAGTAGATTATGTTGTTCTAGATGACTAAACATTTAAATTTAAATTTATAATGTTTAATTTTATATTAACTGTAACTTTTTTTGTGTAAGCAATTTTGACTAATTTAAGATGTGTTGATTTGTTAGTAATTTGTTTATTTTATTATTTAAATTTTCAATTTTGAAATCTAATTGAAACATTAAGACTATTAATTTGTTTACTATAGTCTTTTTAAAATTTAAATAATTAAACTTGTAGTACTTTATAAAGATAATTTA